TCTCAATGTGAAGAAATCAAGTGAGAGCAAAAGATAGTAAAATTACTTAAGAAAGAATACAAAGAAGATCTTGAAAAATCAAAGACTAAGTCAGAACTCAACTCACCAGCCAACACTGCAACATAAATGCGTTTTAAATTAAAACAAAAAGACAGAATGTTGGAACAGCGGTGGCCAGGCCTAGAGTGGCCAGGCACAAGGCAGTGGCAGCCGGGCCCGGAGCAGCAACGGCCAGGCCCCAGAGCAGCAGCAGCCAGAACCAGAGCAACAACAGACAGCACTGGAGCAGCCAGACCTGGGGCAGTGGCAGCCAGGCCTGAGGCGGAGGCGGCCAAGCCCAGGGTGGCCAGTCCAGGAACACCCAGACCCGGAGTGGCCGGTCCCAGAGCAGCCGAGTTGGGAACAGCCAGGCCCAGAACAGCAGTGGCCAAGCCCAGAGCATCCAGGCCGGGAGTGGCCAGGCTCGGAGCGGCCGGGCCCGGGGCAGCCGGGCCCAGAGCAGCCAGGTCTGGTGTGGCCAGGCCAGGAGCAGCGGTTGCCAGGCTGGGAGCGGCCAGGCCCGGAGCAGCCGGGTCTGGTGCGGCCAGGCCCAGAGCAGCGGCTGCCAGGCTGGGAGCGGCCAGGCCCGGAAAGGCCAGGCCAAGGGTAGCCGGGCCCAGAGCAGCCGGGTTGGGTACGGCCAGGCCCGGAGCAGCGGCTGCCAGGCTGGGAGTGGCCAGGCCCAGAGCAGCCGGGTCCGGTGCGGCCAGGCCCGGAGCAGCAGCAGCCAAGTCCAGAGCAACTAGGTCGGGAGCGGCAGTGACCAGACCCGGAGCAGCTGGTTGTGGAACGAACCAGAGCAACAGAGGCCAGGCCCGGAGCATCCAGGCCTGGAACAGCTCGCTCCTCGTCTGCCCCTGCCCCACGGCTGCCTATCAGACATGGCTGGAAACTTTTGCGGGAACTTGAGGGTCTGCTGAATCAAGTGATGAAGGCTTAGATCTGGATGTGTTGAGTTAGTATAGCGTTGGGGTGTTGATCTGTGAGTGCCTTGGGTGGGGCCTGGATGAGGCTGGTTGACCTATTTGGAAATGTCTTTTGTGTGAAATGTATCATTGGGCATGTGGTGGTATTATTGATATGAGAAAATGCTGAGTAACTGATTTACTATCTGAAAAGGGATTTGCTATCGGGGAAAGGGAGGGAGGAAGAGACTGAACATAAACTGTGCACCTATGGATGAGGACAATGGGGGATGGGGAGGGGGCGAAGGGTGGGGTGGGAACCTGGTGGAGGGGGGAAGAAATGAGGAACCTTTGTAATAATATGAACAACAGATTGATTAAAAAAAAAAAAAAAAAAAGAATAAAAGTGTGTCCGAAGCCGGTTTGGCTCAGTGGTAGAGTGTCAGTCTGCGGACTGAAAGGTCCCAGGTTCGATTCCGGTCAAGGGCATGTACATTGGTTGCAGGCACATCCCCGGTAGGGGGTGTGCAAGAGGCAGCTGGTCGATGTTTTTCTCTCATCAACGTTTCTAGCTCTCTATCTCTCTCCCTTCCTCTCTGTAAAAAATCAATATATTTTAAATATTAAAAAAATAAATAAAAGTGTGTCAAAGGAGTGTAAAAACAAACTTTACAAATACCATGTGGCTGCTTTTTTTACATACATACTCTCAAAATGACTGTCACTTCTATAAATAGCTCCTGTGATACACAAACAATACCTCAGTTTTCCACGTGGACTGCGGTTTTGACGGACTTGGTGATTGTGGGTTGCCATGGAATAGCACTGCAAGTTGTTAGATCACCAGCTGCCACTTGCAGGGGTTTTTGTTGATGTCAGAAAGTTTCGTTGGAACCTGTCCCTCACTGTAGGTCTCCACTCAGCTGGCTAAGTCCATCACTCACATGCAGGTTGTTGCTGTGTTCTGCTTGTATCCCATGCCCACCACTGTGGAAAGGGGGAGAAAGTCCAGGTTCTGGGGAGATCCCACCCTATTGGGATTTCCCAGCTTCTTTAAGAAACATATTTTAGCCCTGGCCTATCGCTCAGTTGTTTAAGCATCCTCCTAATACAGCAAGGTTTGGGGTTTGATCCCTGATTAGGGAACATATAAGAATCAAGCAATGGGTGCATAAATAAGTGGAACAACAGGTGAGTGTGTCTCTCTCACTTCTCTCCCCCTCCTCAAAAAGCAAAAAAGAAAGAAAAAAACACACACCTTTTAAATGTACATTATAAGCCCCACACTCTAACAGAAGAACATGTCCTAACTGGTTTGACTCAATGGATAGAGCATCAGTCTGCGGACTGAGGGGTCCCAGGTTTGATTCCGGTCAAGGGCATTACCTTGGTTGTGGGCACATCCCAGGTGAGGGGTGTGCAGGAGGCAGCTGATCGATAATTCTCTCTCACTGATGTTTCTAACTCTCTATCCCTCTCCCTTCCTCTTTGTAAAAAATAAATAAATAAATAAATAAATAAATAAATAAAATATATTGAAAAATAACAGAGACACAATAATGAATATAAGAAACTGGCTATGGTGCACAGTCTAAATCTGGTGACAGATACAAACTCTTAATATTTCTCTTCTTCTACAGTTGAAAAATCAGTTTCATACATACTCATTCATTTGTCTCAAAAGATCTGTTTTTTCTTATGCCAGTACCAGGCTGTTTTAATGGCCTTGTAGTATAGTTTGATATTAAGAATTATGATCCCTCCAACTTTGTTATTTTTTCTCAAGATTGCTGAGGCTGGCCGGCCCCGACCCCAGGCTGCACCAGCCTCCCGGGCCGTAGGCTCCCTAACCGGGTGGGTGATGTCCCGGGTGCGCGATGTCCCGGGTGCAGACAGCTTGCTCCAGGGACTCCCAGCCTGCCCCTGGGGGGCGAAGAGGGCCTGCCTACCGGCCTCGCCTCTTGGCAACCACTCCAGCTTGGCCTGGGCTCCCAGGACCCACTCCTGAGCACACATTGAAAGCGCCTGCTCCTCTTCCAGCGAGGAAGGCAGGGAAAGCCGGGATGAGAGAGTTATGAGCAGAGTGAGGAGGCCGTACCTGCGCGGGGGAAACGGGTAGGTCAGCTTTAGAGGCTGGGGGTCCTGGTGAAGGTGGAAAGCAGAGCAGGCCTGACCCACAAGTCAGTGGAAGGAGAAGGCATGCGTCATGGCATCACACAGGGCATTCCAGGCAGTGGGATGAGCCGCTGCAGAGGCCCTGAGCTGGGGACATTCCTGGCATGTTTGAAAACGGAGGTGGCCGCCCAGCTGGTGTGGCTCAATCGGTTGAGCATCGTCTTATGCACCAAGTGGTCACCTGTTCAATTCCCGATCATGTCAGGGCACATGCCTGCATTGCTGCTCTGTGTGTGTGTGTGTGGGGGGGGGAGGGCAGCCTGGGATGTTTCTGTCTAGCCCTCTCTCTAAAATCAATGGAAACATATTTAATAAAATAAATAAATATTGTAAAAGAAAATGGAGGTGGCGATTGTGACCAGACTGGAGTGCAGGAGGAGCAATAGGCTCTTTGACTTTTACCAGAAAGAAGGGAGGACGCCATGAGATGCCACCACATACCTACCACATGGTTATCATCAATGAATCAATGAATCAAACAAGTGTGGGCGGGGGGAGGCAACCCTCGTGCTTTGTTGCTGGAATTACAAATTTGTGCCATCACTGCGATAACCAGTTTGGTTCAGTGGATAGAGCGTCAGCCTGCGGACTGAAAGGTCTCAGGTTCAATTCTGGTCAAGGGCATGTACCTTCGTTGTGGGCACATCCCCAGTGGGAGATGTGCAGGAGGCAGCTCATTGATGTTTTGAACTCTCTATTCCTCTCCCTTCCTCTCTGTAAAAACTCAATAAAATGTATTTTAAAATAAATAAAATATATAAAAATTGGTGCCACCACCATAAAAAAAAAAAAAAAAAAAAAAAGATTGCTGAGGCTATTCAGGTTGGTTTATTTTTAGTTCCATATAAATTTTTGGAATACTTGTTCTACATCTGTGAAATATGCCATTGGTATTTTAATAGGAATTGCATTGAATTTATAGATTGCTTTGTGTGGTATGGACATTTTAATGATGTTAGCTTTTCCAATCATAAACATGGTGTATGCTTCCACTTATTTGTATCTTCCTCTATTTTTTCTTCAGTGTCCTAAAACTTTCCAAGTACAGGTCTTTTACCTCCTTGGTTAAACTTTATTTTGTATGTTTTAATAGTAAATGAAGTTGTTTTCTTAATTTCTCTTTCTGATAGTTTATTGTCAGTGTATAAAAATACCACCTATATATTTTTTTGTCATCAGAGGACATGTCTTCAATGATTTTTAGAAAGAGAGGATGGGGAGAGAGAAGAAGAAACATGGGGATAAGTGTGCCTACTTGTACCAGCCTGATGGGTGTGGTTGGTTGCCTCTAACCCAGGCATGTGCCCCTACTGGAAATCAAACGGGCACCTTTCGGTGTACAGGACACTCCAACTGAGCTCCTGGGGCAGGGCGCCACCGGCTTCTGCATATTTACTTTGTCTAGACATTCCTCATCTTGATTCTCAATGCCTGGACTTTTAAAATATTTTTTAAATTAATTTCAGAGAGGAAGAGAGAGAGACAAACATCATCACATCAACTGTGAGATGATGATCCATTGGCGGCCTCCCGCCACTGACTGGGAATAGAACCGCAGCTGGGGAATGTGCCCCGACAGGGTACGAACCCGCGACCCCCTGGCTCAGAGGTCGACACCCACCACCGAGCCTCGTCAGCCGGGCAAGGGCCAGCTCTTAGGAGCTTTTCAGCCAGTCCAGTCTCAGGCCGCAAACCGTCAAGTGCGGGGTTTCAAGTGGTGGGCGGGGAGTCCTCCCCTCGCCCCGCCCCTCCCCGCGCCCCTCCCTCCCGCGGCCCCGCCTCCTCCCGCGGCCCCGCCTCCTCCCGCGGCCCCGCCTCTCGCCGGCAGCCGGAAGCTTTCACTCAGCTGCGGCGGCCGGGCCTTCAGGCTCCAGGAAGCTGTGAGTCATGTGATTCTGGGCGCCTCTCACGTGATCTACGACTGGAAGCCGGGGTCTTGGGCCAAGATGGCGGCCTACTTGCAGTGGCGGCGCTTCGTTTTCTTCGACAAGGAGGTGGTGAAGGAACCGCTGGGCAGTGATGGGCCCGCTCCCGGGCCCGCGCTTACCTCTGGGCCGGCTGCTTCCAAGTTCCTCTGCCTCCCTCCTGGCATCACTGTCTGCGACTCGGGCCGGGGGAGCCTTGTCTTTGGAGATATCCTTCACCTGGCGCTGTCATCCCTCCCCGGACTCCTGAGGAGACCTCGCTGGGACAGAATCGGCCCCTCGGAGTGTTCGTGCCACGTGCCCCTTCCTGTAGATGGGCGCCCGGTGCCGCCGGTGGTCTGAGGGCAGGAAGGCCATTCTCTAACTTGTCAACTGAGTCGTCCTGGGCAATCGTTTAATCTCCCCAGGCTTCAACTGCCTTATCTGTAAAAGGGTATGAAATGCCAATGTTCAGTAGGGTTATTTTAAGGCCAAAAGAAAGGGTGCAAGTCAGTTTTAAAAGAAGAATATGTAAGGGGTCCCCATCTCCCTGCCCGGTATTGGGGTGACAAGGTAAATGAGACCAGGAGTTTGCTGCTTTGTTCTTCACATTGCTGCCTCTACACTCTGGTCTCTTTTTACTCTTTTAAAGATAAGGGAGCCCAGGAGATAAGATGGACAAGTCCATGGAAATTTAAAGAGCTGCATGTATGTTAGTTACCTGGGTTCTGGCCTAAATGTCAGTCTCTCTCCTTGGAAAGGAGGCTCCTTGACTTCTCTGCACATATGGAAGGTCAGGTCTGGTTCTTGTCCCGCTCCCTCCAGCTGACTGGCTTCCAAGCCTACAAGCTGCGGGTGACACACCTGTACCAACTGAAGCAGCACAACATTCTGGCATCTGTTGGTGAGGATGAGCAGGGCATCAACCCCCTGGTGAGTCCTGGGCAGGTAACGGGAAAGACCCAGATGTTTGGGAATGTTTGTTTGTGGGAGGCTGATTAGCATTCATCCATCTGAGGTCTGCCAACAGGTCAAAATCTGGAACCTCGAGAAGAGAGATGGTGGCAATCCACTCTGTACTCGAATCTTCCCTGCCATCCCAGGAACAGAGCCCACTGTTGTGTCCTGTTTGACTGTCCATGAAAATCTCAATTTTATGGCCATCGGTAAGCAGAAAGAGGGCAAAGCTAAAGCTCCAGGATTCTCTGTAGATGTTTTTCAGAATTGCTTCTGCAGCTCATATTGTTTTCATTGGACCACCTTGTTCTGAGATATTAGAGTTTGGAATAGGAAAGGATTTAGTTTTGTTCTTTGAAAATGAGTCAGTGAGCTGAAACCGGTTTGGCTCAGTGTATAGAGGGTTGTTCTATGGACTGAAAGGTCCCAGGTTCGATTCCAGTCAGGGGCATGTACATTGGTTTCGGGCACATCCCTGGTAGGGGGTGTGCAGGAGGCAGTTGTTCGATGTTTCTCTCATCGATGTTTCTAGTTTTCTATCCCTCTCCCTTCCTCTCTGTAAAAAAATCAATAAAATAGATACTTAAAAAAGGGGGGAAAAGAAAATGAGTCAGTGAGTACCTATCATCTCCATGTTAGCCATCGGAGGAGTTGGGGATGGAGAGAAGTCTCATCACTTCTAATGAGTGCTTCAAATGGTCCTTCCCCCTGTGCTTCCTGACCTTTCCCCTCAGTGAGGTGTTTCCTGCTCTTGCACAGGCTTCACGGATGGCAGTGTTACCTTGAACAAAGGAGACATCACTCGGGACCGGCATAGCAAGACCCAGATTTTGCACAAGGGCAGCTATCCTGTGACTGGGCTGGCCTTTCGCCAAGCGGGAAAGACCACTCACTTGTTTGTTGTGACAACAGAGAACGTTCAGGTATGACCAGGACCTCCACTGTTAGGAGCAAGTGCTAAAGGCTTCTTTCTCCGTTGCTTAGGGGGTTAGCTTAGGCCCTGACAGGAGAGGCGGGATTCTTACACTTGTCGTCATATAGCCTGGAGTCATTTGCTGAGCTTTCTTCGTTTGAGAGAGTAGGAAATGTAGAGTTAGGAAAAGAACTCTGGGCTTGTAAGAAAAAACCTGAATTTTTCTTCTAACTAACTTGTGAAGTGACATTAGACAAGTTGCTTTACTTCCCTGGATCCTTTGCTCCTAATTTATAACAGCCTACTCTTAGGAATATATTTCTCTTATTTGCAGAATTCCTGTAGTAGGTAGTGACAGTATATACAGGAGAAGGAAGTGTGGTCTCTGCTTATGTATTTGGTAGATGGGAGAAGGCAAGCGACAGGGAAAGTCTTAGGGGCTGAGAATTAGAGAGTGAGTGAGTACGGAGATGGGAATACCTTTGGGAAGGCTTAGATGCCGCGGTCTCAGAGGGTGCCTGCTAACCCTTTCTTTCTTCTCCAAGTCCTATATAGTTTCTGGAAAGGATTACCCTCGTGTGGAGTTGGATACCCACGGTTGTGGCCTGCGCTGCTCAGCCCTAAGCGACCCTTCTCAGGACCTGCAGTTCATTGTGGCCGGGGATGAGTGTGTCTACTTGTACCAGCCTGACGAACGTGGGCCTTGCTTCGCCTTTGAGGGCCATAAACTCATTGCGCACTGGTTTCGAGGCTACCTTGTCATTGTCTCCCGGGACCGGAAGGTCTCTCCCAAGTAAGAGCTCCAGGGAGAGGGAGAGGGCTGTGCTCGATCCCCAGAATCGACCTGATTCTAAAACCCTACACCTGGGTCCTGGCAGTCTCCTGGTCTCCTCCTCTGGTTTTATGTAGATCCTGCTTATACCTAGAACCAGTTACTATGTTTATATGGGAAAATGTGTTGTGCTGCAGACATTTGTTGAGCAGTCCTGATGCCCTAGAATGTTCCAGAAAATTTTGTACCTGGCATTAATTTTGTACTCTTTAGTAAAAGTAAATTGGGGCAGAGGAAGGAGGGCTTAAGTAGTAAAAACACTAGGACGTGCAGGACCCAGAATTTTTTGTCTGAGCCACCTGGACAGGCGGTGGGTCCTCCGCATGACGGAAATGACCCAGGTGTTAGCCTGTTCATTCAGTACTAAGCACGGTGCTTAACATCTGCCAGGTGCTGATTATTTGTTAAACGAATGGGTATTTAAATAAACTTAATTTTTAACCTGTTATCTGTGTTAGTTATAGGGCTTACAGGGTAAGATCAGATCTGTATGTTCTCTCCTAAGACTGCCAGCACAATGCTGCATGTCACGGGATGAGCTTCTAGAAGGGCCAAGAGGCGATTTGTTCTGAGTGGAATGGGCAGCTCCAAAGTTATCACTGGAGCCTGGCTGGATAGCTCAGTTGGTTAGAGCATCATCCTCACACACCAAGGTTGCAGGTTTGATCCCAGTCAGCACATGCAAGAATAAACCAATGAATGCATAAATAAGTGAAACAACAAATTGATGTTTCTGTCTCTGTTTCTCCCCCTTTCTCCCTAAAATCAACCAATAAAAAAAATCAAAGTTGCCACTGGAAAGGAAATAAAGGGGAAGCTGAGGCAGAGAAGGTACAAATGTCTGGTGCTTTTTCTTTCCCACACAGGTCAGAGTTTACCAACAGGGACTCGCAGAGCTCCGACAAGCAGATTCTCAACATCTATGACCTGTGCAACAAGTTTATCGCCTACAGCGCCGTCTTTGAGGACATAGTGGATGTGCTTGCTGAGTGGGGCTCCCTGTACGTGCTGACGCGGGATGGGCGGGTCCACGCACTGCAGGAGAAGGACACACAGACCAAACTGGAGGCAAGGCCACCAGGGTCCCAGCGCTGGTCATAGGCACCCCGATACTGCTGTAGGAACGGGCTCCCAAGACACCTTAGCCAGAGCGTACCCTTCTCTTTGGGTCATAGCCTTACTCAGCTCCTTGGGTAAATGGCCTGAGATGAGGCTTTAGAGCAAGCATGTCAAACTTGGCCACATGCGGCCCATAACGAATATTTTTGCTGCCCAGCCAATATAACGGTATGTAAGAAACATTTTAATAAACATTTCTTACTTAATTTTTACAATATCCTGTAATACATGATTATTAATAACAAACTACAACTGACTGATGACTACAACCGTGTTGCATTCATTTCCCTTACGCACAGGCGCACCATTTCTCTCTACTAATACTGGCAGCAAATATTTTATTTTTTAAAAAATATATTTTATTGATTTTGTACAGAGAGGAAGAGAGAGAGACAGAGAGTTAGAAACATAGATGAGAGAGAGTCATCGATCAGCTGCCTCTTGCACACCCCCTACTGGGGATGTGCCCGCAACCAAGGTACATGCCCCTGACCAGAATCGAACCCGGGACCTTTCAGTCCCCAAGCCGACGCTCTATCTATTGAGCCAAACCGGTTTCGGCGGCAGCAAATATTTTAACAGCCAATTGCCACGCCATTAGTCTTGGACTGACTTGTTTGGTGTGCGCAGGAAACATTTTGCTTTAGTAAATTTTTTAAAGTATATTTTTATTGATTTTTTACAGAGAGGAAGAGAGGGATAGAGAGTTAGAAATATCGATGAGAGAGATTCATCGATCAGCTGCCTCTTGCACACTCCCCACTGGGGATGTGCCCGCAATCAAGGTACATGCCCTTGACCGGAATCGAACCCGCAAGCTGACGCTCTATCCACTGAGCCAAACCGGTTTCGGCTTGCTCTAGGAGAACAAGAAAAATAGGTTTATTTGCTTTACGCTTATTAATTTGTGCAGTTATTCAGTGTCTGGTAAGTTAATATTCAAGAAAAAGTCTTAATTTTTATTAAAATATTCTATTTTATGTTAACGATGACTCATTTATTTCAGCCCTTTGTATCCAGCATGTCTCTATCAAAGTAAGCCTAGGTTTCTTTGAAAATTGAAACTTTAGCTGTTTTTGCAGCCACATACACTTACACCGTGTTTATTGGCCCGTGCAGCCTTTGAGTCTGACATGCTTGCTCTAGTCTAGAGGGAAGTACTGGCTAGGAGCCTGAGCCTACTTCCAGGGTCCCCTCTCTGCAGAGAGGTAGGAGGTAACTGATGTTGGTCTGGGGGTATCGGAGGTCTCACCCTGCAGGGTTCTAGGCTGATGAGAACCTCAGGACTGTCTGGCATGTGTGCTGTGGGTCCATTCTGGGGCGGTGTCGCCTCAGGACTGCGTCTACAATTTTCCAATCTCTCCTTCCAGATGCTGTTTAAGAAGAACCTGTTTGAGATGGCCATTAACCTGGCCAAGAGCCAGCACCTGGACAGTGACGGGTTGGCCCAGATCTTCATGCAGTACGGCGACCATCTCTACAGCAAGGGCAACCACGACGGGGCGGTGCAGCAGTACATCCGGTCAGCGGGTGCTCGGGGTGTAGCTCTGAATCAGACAGGCAGCAGGTGGCTCACACCTGTGCTCAGGGGAGGGCTGACTCCACCGGGAACCTTCCTTTTGTTTTACAGAAACTGGATGCCCTGCGGGCGGAGACAGTATGTGGAAAGGAATGTTTAGGGTGAAATATTACCTGACCAGAATGCAATTGAGCTGATAAACACCTATTATTTTATTTTATTTTAAAAAATATATATATTTTATTGATTTTTTACAGAGAGGAAGGGAGAGAGAGAGCTAGAAACATCAATGAGAGAGAAACATAGACCAGCTGCCTCTCGCACACCCCCTACTGGGGATGTGCCCACAACCAATGTACATGCCCTTGGCCGGAATCGAACCCGGGACCTTTCATTCCGCAGGCCGACGCTCTACCACTGAGCCAAACCGGTTTTGGCAACACCAATTATTTTAAACTGTAGTTTGCCCTTTGTTAATATTCATTTTTACCTAGTTCTCCCACACATTCTTTCCTTGGCATTAATTCTTAGAATTTCCTGTCCTAATAAGGGGTTTTGAAACCCTTTCTAGCTCCTTTCCCAACTTCTCTAGAATTCCTGTTTTCAGTCAACTTTAAGAATTAGTGCTCTCACCAAAACCGGTTTGGCTCAGTGGATAGAGCGTTGGCCTGCGGACTGAAAAGTCCCAGGTTCGATTCCGGTCAAGGGCATGTATCTTGGTTGCGGGCACATCCCCAGTAGGGGATGTGCAAGAGGCAGCTGATAGACGAATCTCTCTCATTGATGTTTCTAACACTCTATCCCTCTCTCTTCCTTTCTGTAAAAAATCAATAAGATATATTAAAAAAAAAAAAAAAAAGAAAGAATTAGTGCTGTGGAGGCTTGTTACTCCTGTGGCCACAGAATAGCATCCTCAATGTCCCCTGGGACTTGGTTGGAAATGCAGGCTCTCGGGCCTTTCAGTAGCCCTTTTAAGATTTGCAAGTGCCCGGCTGGTGTGCCTCAGTAGTTTAGCATCGACCCATGAGCCAAGAGGTCCCTGATTTGATTCCCAATCAGGGCACATGCCCAGGTTGCTGGCTCGCTCTTCGTACGGGGCATGCAGGAGGCAGCTGATTGATGTATCTCTCATCGCTGTTTCTGTCTCTTTATCCCTCTTCCTCCCTCTCAAATCAGTAAAAAATATTTCTTTAAAAAGGAAGCTCTGCAAGTGCTTCCTGAGCGTGTGAAAGTGCGAAAAGGACATTGATCCCGATGCTTCTTGTGCACGTGTCTCCCTAGAACCATTGGAAAGTTGGAACCGTCATACGTGATTCGCAAATTTCTGGATGCCCAGCGTATCCACAACCTGACCGCCTACCTGCAGACCCTGCACCGGCAGTCCCTGGCCAATGCCGACCACACCACCCTGTTGCTCAACTGCTACACCAAGCTCAAAGACAGCTTGAGGCTGGAGGAGTTCATCAAGGTGTGGGGGTTGGGGGTGGTGGAGCAGGATGGGCATTCCTGGAGGCCCCCATTGATTGAGCACTGGCTCCCCAGGGCTGGTCCTCCTTCAGCAGGTGCAGAGAGAGGAAAGCTGCCCTCACTCGGGACCAGGAAGGACCCTCTGTCTATAAACGGGAAGAGGAACAGCGCTCCTGCTGGTTCTCTCCTGTCTCCCTTCTTTATGGCGCCAGAACTTCCCTCGGTACCTGAGCCCAGGGAGGTAGTAGTGCGGCAGCCTTTGTCCGGAGGAGTCCCTCGGAGTAGTAGGGGCAGAGGAATCGGCCCTCAGAAACTTCCTCAGAGGCAGGGACATGCTTTTTAAGAGCACGGGCTTTATATTACCTTAAGAATCTGGTCTGGAGTCTCACGCTTGTTTCCTCTCCTCTCCTAACCACCGCCTCTCCTGGAGTGATGTTGTCTCATGTTCCTGGCAGACCAAGAGTGAGAGTGAAGTCCACTTTGATGTGGAGACAGCCATCAGGGTGCTGCGGCAGGCTGGCTACTACTCCCATGCCCTCTATTTGGCCGAGAACCATGCACACCACGAGTGGTACCTGAAGATCCAGCTAGAGGACATCAAGGTAGGGGAGATTCTTTTTTCCCTTCAATTTCGTGGAGGTGTTTTTTTGTTAATCCTCACCAGAGGATATTTTTTTCATTGATTTTTAGGGAGAATGGAAGGGAGACAGACAAACAGACAGACATCCATCAGTGTGAGAGAGACACATCGATTGGTTGCCTTCCGAACTCAGTGTCCAGGGTGATACTCTAACCACTGAGCACACAGGTCAGGGCAGAAGGGGAGACTTTTTTTTTTTTTTAAGATAGATATATATATATATATATATATATATATATATATAAATTATTTTATTGATTTTTTACAGAGAGAAAGGGAGAGGGATGGAGAGTCAGAAACATCGATGATGAGAGAAACATCGACCAGCTGCCTCCTGTACAACCCCCACCGGGGATGTGCCCACAACCAAGGTACATGCCCTTGACCGGAATCGAACGCGGGACCCTTCAGTCCGTAGAACGACGCTCTATCCACTGAGCCAAACCGGCTTTAGCTTTTTTAATATATTTTATTGATTTTTTACAGAGAGGAAGAGAGAGGGATAGAGAGTTGGAAACATCAATGAGAGAGAATCATCGATCAGCTGCCTCTTGCACACCCCCTACTGGGGATGTGCCCGCAACCAAGGTACATGCCCTTGACCGGAATCGAACCCGGGACCTTTTATTCCGCAGGCCAACACTCTGTCCACTGAGCCAAACCAGTTTTGGCGATTGACTCAAAGTTCTGTTCTTTCTCTAGGACATTCTGGAATGATGACAGTGCTTCCTAGTGGGTGAGACAGGAACATGCCCTTACTCTGCCCCTTATGTCTCCACAGAATTACCAGGAAGCCCTTCGGTACATTGGCAAGCTGCCTTTTGAGCAGGCAGAGAGCAACATGAAACGCTACGGCAAGATCCTCATGCACCACATACCAGAGCAGACGACCCAATTGCTGAAGGGACTTTGTACCAACTATCGACCCAGCCTTGAAGGCCAAGGTGACAGGGAGTCACCAGGCTGCAGGGTGAGGCCTGGGGAATGGCTGTTGGACAGCAGGGATCCTCTTTGGGGCATCTTAGGCACCAAGGTCACTCACTCCGCCTCTCCCCTCCATTACCATCTTAGGCCAACTCAGAGGAGTTCATCCCCATCTTTGCCAACAACCCACGAGAGCTGAAAGCTTTCCTAGAGCACATGAGTGCGGTGCAGCCCGACTCGCCGCAGGGCATCTACGACACGCTCCTCGAGCTACGACTACAGAACTGGGCCCATGAGAAGGACCCGCAGGTGAGGCTGGGGAAGCTGCAGGAGGTGCTGGAGAACAGACCGCGCTTCCATCTTCTGTGGTTGCTTTGGCTGTCTTCTCCAGACCAATCACACCTCACCATGGTGCTAAATGTCCTCGGGAAGAAGGAAATTGGGCTGAGGGGAAGAGAGAGTTGGCTTGCCTTGCCCAAGAGGCCGTGTGGGTTTTCCTTATGGCCAGCAGCCCTCTCCTGCCCCAGGCCAAAGAGAAGCTTCACGCAGAGGCCATCTCCCTCCTGAAGAGCGGCCGCTTCTGCGACGTCTTTGACAAGGCCCTGGTCCTCTGCCAGATGCACGACTTCCAGGACGGGGTCCTGCACCTCTACGAGCAGGGGAAGCTGTAAGAGCTGGGGGTTTCAGGGACGGAGGAAGGGTCCGAGTCATGTTCCGGGGATGGCCTCTGAGTGGCCTGCTTGGCACAGGTACCAGCAGATGATGCACTACTACATGCAGCATGAGCAGTACCAGCAGGTGATCGCCGTGTGTGAGCGCCACGGGGAGCAGGAGCCCTCTCTGTGGGAGCAGGCGCTCAGCTACTTCGCCCGCAAGGAGGAGGACTGCAAGGAGTACGTGGCAGCTGTGCTCAAGCATATTGAGAGCAAGAACCTCATGCCACCACTTCTAGGTACTTGGGAGGACAGGGTGGGTGGGTAGGTGCCAACTGCTGACAATCAGGGGTGCTGGGGCAGGAGCCCTGTCCGGTGGGTACTGCTTGATTTATTGTTTCCCCCTGGACCCCAATCTCAGTGGTGCAGACCCTGGCCCACAACTCAACCGCCACCCTATCTGTCATCCGGGACTACCTGGTCCAGAAGCTGCAGAAACAGAGCCAGCAGATCGCACAGGATGAGCTCCGGGTGCGGCGGTACCGCGAGGAGACCACCCGCATCCGCCAGGAGATCCAGGAGCTCAAGGCGAGGTACTGGCATCGGAACAGCTGGCGGAGTCCAGGGATAACCTTGTCCTTCACAGGTGTCAGTGCTTTTAAAAGACAAAAGATACATGGAGTGCGTTTGAGCATTTCATGCTTGCAGATGTTTTAATGGAGGAATTCCAAAAGAGATCGTTATTTATCGGGCTTTGCAGGATATTATCTAGTATGGGTACTTTTCTTTCTGTATTTGCTTATCTGTATTTTACATTTTCTAAACACACATCTAAGTTGTGTGGTTAGAAGCCATTCAGGTAAAAACTTTGCTTTAGAAAATACAAAAAGGGGCCTGGCCAGTGTGGCCCAGTTTGTTGAGCATCATCCCCTGGACCAGGAGGTTGCCTGGTCCGGATTGCGGGCTCAGCTCCCTGTAGGGGGCGTGCAGGAGGCAGCCGATCAGTGTTTTTCTCTCATTGATGTTTCTCTCTCTCTCTCCCCCTCTCTTCCTCTCTCTGAAATCAATAAGAACATATTTTCAAAAAGAAATACAAAAGTGCTTAATTTATAATGTGTATATATAGTAGACATTAATGCTAACTCTTTAAATATTATTTGCCCTTAATATTATAAAATGTGTATTAGAGAACAATCCCACCAATATTTACTGAGCCCCTATTATGTTCCAAGTACTCTTCTTCTTCTTCTTCTTCTTCTTCTTCTTCTTTTTTTAATATTTTTTTAATTGATTTCAGAGAAGAAGGAAGATGGAGAGATGCTCAACCACAGCTATGCTGGCAGGGCCCAAGTACTGTTAACAACACAGTGGAGTTTACATTGTAGAGGTAGAGACAGACAGTTAACATATTAAATAAGCAAAATGTTATAGTATCTTAGATGGTGTTAAGTTCAAAGAAGAAAGTTGAGGAAAGGGAGTAGGGTGAGGACTGTGTGTGTGTGTGTGTGTGTGTGTGTGTGTGAGAGAGAGAGAGAGAGAGAGAGAGAGAGAGAGAGAGAGAGAATTTCTAAGGTGTTTGGGAGAGGCCTCTGAAAGGGTCATATGTCTACTATATATACATATAAATTAAGCAGCTTTGTATTTCTTTTTTGAAAACAGACCTGACAGTTAGTTTTGTGGCAGTGGTGAGGCTGACAGAGAAAAGCACCCTGGGTGGTGGACTTCTGGGAACATATTGAGACGAACTCCGGCCTTTCATAGGTGGTGAGGAGAGCAAGGCCTGGAGCACTCCCTTAGGGACCCACCGCCTTCTCTCGTGGCTCTTGGCCCTGCCTCACTGTTGGCCACTCCTTTCCTCTCCCTTGCTGCAGCCCGAAGATTTTCCAGAAGACCAAGTGCAGCATTTGCAACAGTGCCTTGGAGTTGCCCTCAGTCCACTTCCTCTGTGGACACTCCTTCCACCAGCACTGCTTCGAGAGTTACTCGGAAAGCGATGCTGACTGCCCCACCTGCCTTCCTGAAAACCGCAAGGTCATGGATATGATCCGGGCCCAGGAACAGAGACGCGATCTCCACGATCAGTTCCAGCACCAGGTAGGAAAGAGTGGCCAGAGGAGTACCCACTCAGAGTTGGGAGCACTGCAGGGGAGCTCATTTGAGGAAACTGAACCCTTCAGTTCTGATTCCTGCTCTTTCCCACAGCTCAAGTGCTCCAACGACAGCTTCTCCGTGATTGCTGACTACTTCGGCCGAGGCGTTTTCAACAAACTGACACTGCTCACTGACCCTCCTACGACGAGGCCGGCCGGAAGCCTGGAGTCTGGGCTGCAGCAGGACCTGCTTGTGCACTCCAGGAGGGGCACTTGAACAGCCTGGGGAGAGGGAGGAGGGGGAGGCCCAGCAGCAGGAATACAGGACTGAGCAGAGCTATTGCCCAGGCAATCAGGCAGCCACATCCCGGCCTCTGCTGTGATCTGATGCTACAGCCTCAGGACTAAAGGGGTTTTTTTTCCTGTCGTCTCTTTGGCCAGCCCACCTTGTTTCCTGTTAACTTTCTGAGCAGCGTTGATTATTCAAACCCTGGGGAAGGGCACTTCAACAACCTCCATGCATAGACAATAGCTGCTTTATTCTCCGTCCAAGATCGCCAGCCTGTGCTGGGGTCCTCGCTCCCAGAGTCTGTGGGTAAAGGATTTCAGTCCTGGCCGGGGGGCCTGGGTTGGATGTCATCCCGTACACAGAAAGGTTGTTGGTTTGATTCCCAGTTAGGGCACCTGCTTGGCAGGGGTGTGCAGGAGGCAGCCTATCAGTTAATGTTTCCCTCCCTCTCTAAAAAAATCATTTAAAAAACTTTTTTTACATCGGTTTCAGGGTTGATAAAGTTACTCTGGGACTTGATGATTCTTTACTGTAGAATTACTTCTTTTCTACTGCATTCCTAGAGCTCCAGGGCCCACTTCCTTCACAGACCACTTTGAGACCTGGTTGGTTTGACTACATTCCATGGGTGGGCGGGGCCTGTGGCATCCAAGAGCCCCGCTTACTGAAGCCCCGCCGCAAAAGACCCAGGACTGCGGTCCCCCAAACAGTTCTGCTCTGAGTCTGGCTGGCTCCGTGGTTCTTTGTACAAAATACTTAGGTGGGAGGCAGGTTCTGATAAGGCGCCTTGGGCCTAAGCCTCTGCCTTCTCGGGGTACGCTGGTGCCGTACTCAGCACCGGATGATGAGCAGATAAAGGGGTCTGCAAAGGGGAACAGCGGGGTTCCTCTGGGCGCTCGGCCACCGGCCAGCACTGCGTGCGGAACAGTGGAGGTGGAGGCAGAAATGAGCAGGTGGAGGCTGGATTCAAACCAGGAAGACGGGCAAGGGAGTCGCGGCCCGGCCTCAGCTTGACGGAGTAGGGGCGGAACCGCAGGGCCCGGGTCTGTCGCAATCCCAATTCCCGCCCAGGGGAAGCGCCGCCCCTCCGAGGGCGGGCGCCGGTAGTGACATAGCCGGGCCGAGCCGGCGCCGCGGCGGAGGTCTCCGTGGCGCCCGTGCCCGCCAGCCGGTGCCGCCGGCGTCCCGAGTTCGGAGCCCCGCGCGGAGCCTGCGGCCCGGGACTGCCATGGCTGCCCCCAGCCACACGGCCGCGCCGGCGGTGAGTCCTAAACCCGTGACCCTAAGAACTTCGTATCCGGACGAAGGGTGCAGTGATTGGCTTCAGGTTGCCACCCTCTGTCGTCTATTGGTCGGAACTACTGTCCGTCTTCCCCCTCCTGGCCCCGCCCGATAGCTGTTAAAGGGCCAGCAGCGGAGCCGCCCTTGGGAAGGAGGGAAGTGGGCGGGCGGTGCTGACGGGGTTAAGAATGGAGGAGTCGTCCCCTGTCTGGGTGGGGATCCTCCAGGCCTGGCTCCGGCGGGTCTAGATTCAGGTGGCCAGACGGAGGAAGTTCGTGCGCCATAGTAGCGCCCAGACCGAGAGGACGGGCCGTTCCCCGGGATCCCTTCCCACGGGCGGGCCGCGGTGGGTCCCGCCATCTTGGGAAGTGTCCCACGTGCATCAAGAGGGGAGAGCACGCCCCGCAGTCTCCGAACTGCACACACATCCAGGAGGTGCACCTCCTTCCCTTTTCCCGTCTCAGCAGTCACCCAGCCCCAGCCTTTCCAAACCCCAGCTGCGCGGGCGGCGGGGTGGCCCAGGGGGTGTGTAGACCGGATTCCCGGTCAGGGCACATGCAGCCGATCAATGATTCTCATCATTGATGTTTGTCTCTCTTCCTCTCCCTTCCTGAAATCAATTAAAAATAAAAAAGCTTGCCGAAACCGGTTTGGCTCTGGTAGAGCGTCGGTCTGCAGACTGAAAGGTCCCAGGTTCGATTCCGGTCAGGGGCATGTAAGTTGGTTGCGGGCACATGCCCGGTAGGGGGTGTGCAAGAGGCAGCTGATCGATGTTTCTCTCTCATCCACGTTTCTAGCTCTCTATCTCTTTCCCTTCCTCTCTGTAAAAAAATCAATAAAATATATTTAGATAAATAATAAATAAATAAATAAAATAAAAAGGCTGCAACCTCCCCCTCCCCGTCACTACACTGGGGGCGGGAGGGAGCGCCCTGGAGTCTCCCCAGCGGCTCCCGGGGAGCTCTGGGCTGGTGCAGACGCAAACTGCAGAGCCGCTGGGGCTGCTGGCCTGAGATAAGAAAGGCGGGCAGCTGCTTATCTGCAGCTGCCAGCCTGCTAGTGAGTAGAGGATTCCTCGCCACTGCAGCCATTCCTGAGCACAGTAGAAAGGTCTGGATTCCAGCTCCAGCCCTCTGCCCATTAGGAGCGGTGTGACCTTGGGCAAGTCACTTCACCCTTAGGAGCCAGGCTTTGCTGTTACAACATGGTCCCGAAGGCTCCTGCCCTGTCCACCTGATATGTGGCCATAAGATTGAAAGCGGTAGCTGTCATGCATGTTAATCAGTTCTGATGGAGTCATTTGACTTGACTGCTGTGTGCAGACTCAATGAACTAAGGGATTGTTTGAACCTAGCAGTTTTAGGACCTTAGATTTCTTTCTGTGGTTTCCCGAGGCCCAGAATTAGTGGCCATTTTAGCATTCCATGCCTAGCCTAACTTCTCAGGCTCCCCCAAGGCAGGGTTGGATTTTGTTTGTTTAATATATTTTTATTGAGTTCAGAGAGGGAAAGAGATAGAACCATCAATGATGAGAGAAACATCGATCAGCTGCCTCCTGCACAATCCCCATTGGGATCAAGCCCGAAACCCCAGGCATGTGCCCTGATGGGGAATCGAACCATGACCTGCTTCATAGGTCGATGCTCAACCAGTGAGCCATGCTGGCTAGCCAGTGTTTGTTGTTTAGAGAAGAGATGGAAATGGAGTATACTGCAGTCCAAGACCAACTAGCTGCCACCTACTCCTCAGTGCCTGCCTAGCAAAAGAGCTCCCTGGCCTAAAGAGTCCAGAACAGGGAAAGTTGAAAGTTCTACAGTGACAACTGTCAGATCTAGAAAGAAATAAGATCTCAGACTGAAGAACCCAGTTCTGCTTGCTTGGCACTGAACACCTTTGTCCTGGGAGGAGAGTGTTTTGAGTAATTTTTTATTTTTAAAAAAATATATTTTATGATTTTTTTACAGAGAGGAAGGGAGAGGGATAGAGTCAGAAACATCCATGAGAGAGAAACATTGATCAGCTGCCTCCTGCATACTCCCTACTGGGTATGTGCCCACAACCAAGGTACATGCCCTTGACCGGAATCGAACCTGGGACCCTTGAGTCTGCAGGCTGACGTTCTATCCACTGAGCCAAACCGATTAGAGCTGTTTTGAGTTCTTGGTTTGTTTTTGATGTTCCAGTATTTCCTTGTTGGTGAAACCAGAGGCAGCACTCCAAGTGAATGTCTCTTAGTCTCACAGAGCATCACAGGCACCTGGTAGCTCTTGTTCATTTTATAGATGAACAAGCAAGTCCTGAAGGGATGATGTGCTCAGGATCACCCAGCCAAGAGGCTGAGCAGGACTCTAATCAGATCTGTTGACCTCAGTCCCTTGTGTGTCTTTATTTTCTTTATTTTTTAAAATTAAATTATTATCTGTGTACATATCTTACCATTCCCCCCTCCCCCCCTCCCATACATACCCTCTCTCCCCAGACCTTGTATGTCATTTGATCAGATTCGGGGCTTCATAGTTTGGCAGCTGTTGGGTAGCTCTTGGATCTAGGTGGCGCTGAAGCTTCCTTGGTGCCTGATCCCTGTGGATGCTTGGACTTGTCTCAGTGACTCAGCCTGTGTGGCCCCAGCTGCCCTGCCCCTAGGCCGCAGCCCCACCCTCCCTGTGGCCACGCTGATGGTCCTTATCTCTTTGCCCACCTGGCTCTGTGCAGCACTCCCCTGCCGTGGCCAGGATGGGCTGTGAGCTCAGGCCCTGGTTAGTGCGGCAACAGCAGATCCTACTGTTGTTTCCCTCTGGTCTCTGCGTCTGTCTGTAGGGAGAGCAGAAGGTACGGAGGACAGAGGCTGAGGTTCCTTTCTTCCAAGCCAGTGATTGTTTCTCAGACAAGGTGTTGAGGAGCACAAGGGACAGAGGGACTGTGACCTGGGGACTTTCTTTGCAGGAAGAAAAGAACCTAGAGATGAGAGTGATTCGCGTGGGTACCCGCAAGAGCCAGGTGAGTGCAGGCACTGGCGGAGGTTTGTGGGAAGTCCGTGTACAATGTTATAAGTTGGGGGGCCGAGCGACTCAGGGCTGGAGAAAACGGGGTGGCTGGGTGTTAAGATTTTAGGCATTCCGTGGAGAGAAAGTCCCTGGGCTGGGGAAGTTGTTGGGGTGCAGAGGACTCCCAAACCAGACCCCTCTCCTTTCAAGGTGGGCATTCAACACCTTCTTTGAATTCCGATCCATTCAGGATTGTCTTGACCCTATGAGCATCTGAGCTCAGGGCAGTGGCCAGGGAAGAACAGGACTAATGCCAATTTTTGCCCCCAGCTGGCGCGCATACAGACGGACAGTGTGGTGGCAATGCTGAAAACCTTAAACCCGGGCCTGCAGTTTGAAATCAGTGAGTTTTTCGGACAGCAATGGAAGCTAAGGGGAAGCCCTCACCCATTCTGGAGAGGAGAGCACAGTGTTTCCAGATTTGCCTGGGACCACTGCCTGGTCCTGTGGTCTCCAAGCATTTTTGGCTACTCCAAGTTTGAAAGACTCCTTGCCCCTCTACCTGGACTAGCCTGGCATTTAATGTCTTCTGCATCAAGCCTATTTAGTTAGTTAGTTAGTTAGTTAGTTAATCCTCACCCAAGGATATCTTTCTATTGATTTCAGAGAGTGGAAGGGAGAGGGAGAGACAGAAACATCAATGTGAGAGAGACATATTGATTGGTTGTCTCCTGCACACACCCCAACCAGGGCCAAGAAACCAGCATGTACATGTCCTTGATGGGAACCAAACCTAAGACCCTTCAGTCCCAAGGCCGATGCTCTATCCACTGAGCCACACCAGCCAGGGCTTGGGGCTTTTCATGAGGGTGTCTGATCTTCCTGCTAGATTGTACTTTCCCAGAGGGTTGGAGCTGGGGCTATGCGCCCTGTGTACCCTGAGCCGTAGCACCGTGCTGGGGTCAGGGGGGGCTCAGTGAAGACTGATCAATGAGTGACCGGCTGACTCTCTCCTCAGTTGCTATGTCCACCACAGGGGACAAGATTCTTGATACCGCACTCTCTAAGGTAACAACGCCCATACGCACGCACGCACGCCCGCCCGCCCGTGTCCCCTCCTCTTTCCTTCTCCCAAGAGTTTCACTCTCTCACCCTTCTGGTGGCAGATTGGAGAGAAGAGCCTGTTTACCAAGGAGCTGGAGCACGCACTGGAGAGGAATGAGTGAGTGGAGGACAGGAGTGTGGGCCCCCCAGCCGTGGGCAGCAGACCTGGCTCTCTGCTAGCTGCTGAGCATATGTATGTGTTTTAGATGTCAGAAAAGAAGGTCCTGATTCTGAGCTGAGCCAGATTGATTGGCGGGAGGGGGGCAAGAAGGGGGAGAAAAGAAGGTCTCGGGGTTCTGAGGACTCTGAGGCCTGCTTCTGGAACTGCTCCTGGCTCGGCTGCTGGAGTAGAGGCGGGATGGTGGAGAAGAGGTGGAGGCTGCTGCCTGGACCTTCTCCTTGCCCCATCCCACCTCTCTAGAGTGGACCTGGTCGTGCACTCCCTGAAGGACCTGCCCACCGTGCTTCCTCCAGGCTTCACCATCGGCGCGGTCTGCAAGTCAGTGTCCTCTGCGTCCGGGCCGCGCGGGGAGGGCAGGGGGCAGGGAGCGAGCCTGGCTTTCCCCTTTGGGATTGGCCCTCCTCTAGGGCGGCCTCCCTGCCCGGAGGTAGTAAGCATGGCAGAAAAACTCCGGAAACGCCAGTTAGTGGCTGTCAGGAGAAACTGGATATGACCTGAACTGAGAGCTCTCATTCTACAACCCTCCCTCCACCCTAGGCGAGAGAACCCCTATGATGCTGTTGTCTTTCACCCAAAATTTGTTGGGAAGACCCTAGAGACCTTGCCAGAGAAGAGGTGAGTGGGGCCTGGCTAGGCATCTGGGTGGGACATGCCCAGAGGCTGGAGGAGGAGGAGGAAAGGAACAGCGCCTGCCTGGAGTCACATCTCACTTCAGCCCTGTCTTGGAGCAGTGTGGTGGGAACCAGCTCCCTGCGGAGGGCGGCCCAGCTGCAGAGGAAGTTCCCACACCTGCAGTTCAAGAGCATCGTATCCTTTCAGTTGCAGGCCAGTGGAAGGCGAGGTCCAGAGGGCCCAAGAGTCCCTAAAACGAAGGGACTTCCAAGGGGACCAGGGGGCAGTGGGTTGTCTGTCTTCCCATTCATCCACTCATAACCCTTCCTGTCGGCATTGCCCCTGCTCGGAATTTAGTTTGGTTGGGAGACAAACAGGCATTGATAATACAGAAGGATGCTGAACAGTGATTGCTGCAGGGAGGGCGGGGTGATGGGGATGAGAAGGGCACTTCCATTTTTATTTTATGGGCTGTATTTTGATTTTTATAATGAATATGTAGTATGTCTTATAAAGCTAAAATGGTATGAAGTAAGTGCTCTAATGTGCAAATTAGGGAATTTTCTGGAAGCTTCTAACTGGAACATTTAAACACAGATTTTGGGGGCAAGTAAGACTTCTGAGAGATCTTTGTAATATTGGGCAATTTATTTGCCTTCTCTGTCATTTTCCTCATTTATAAAATGTAGATAGCAATAAAACATCATAGAGTTTTTGTGAAAACTAAATGAGTTGGCATATATACATAGCACTTTAGAATATTATCTGGCATGCAATATGAGCTGTTAACTGCTTCCATTAAGCTGAGAACCAAAAGGTGAGAAGTTGGCCAGCTAGAAAACAAAATAAGCCAGTTAGAGAAAGACAGGTGTCACATGATCTCACTCATATGTGGATTCTAATGAACAAAATAAACTGATGAACAAAACACAGAGTGGCCAGATTATGATGATCTCTAAACGCATAATAATCTGGCCACTCGGTGTACTTCTCTTGAATACTTCATTTGATATCAAAGATACTATAAATCGTGCACCTGATCAGTTTCCCCTTTGCACTGACTGGTAGAAAGCTCAGGACAGAGATCAACCGAAGGACTTGTATCCATGCATATAAGCATAACCAATAGACGCAAAACTCTGGGGGTGAGGGCATGTATGGGAGTTGGGAGGGAGCAATGGTAAGATATGTACACATATAATACCTTAATTAAAAAAAATGAAAAAAAAAATTCTCTACCTCCAAAAAAAAAATTAAAAAGAGAAGGAAAAAAAAAAAAAAAGTAAGAAAGAAAGCTCAGGACAAATAGGTGGTTGATCTCCAGCAAAAGTCTAGAATACTTTTGGCACCCATTTGAGATACAAATACACTGAGTGGCCAGATTATTATGTGTTCAGAGATCATAATAATCTGGCCACTCAGTGTCGATCCAGAGCCCTGGAAGCATGGGACAGACTGGAATCGCAGAGGGAAGGTGGGGTGGAAGAGATCAGCCTTGTATGCATCTATGCGTAACCCATGGACACACAGTAGTGTGGTGCAGGCCCGGGAGGGGGGCGCCTAGAAGGGATCGATGGGGGGAAATAGGGGACATATGTAATACTTTCAACAATTAAGATTTAATTTTTAAAAAAGTTAGGCATCTATAAAGTGTCAGGTCCTTAGCAGCTCCTCAGCGGGGAAACCTCAACACCAGGCTTCAGAAGCTGGATGAGCTGCAGGAGTTCAGTGCCATCATCTTGGCGGCAGCGGGCCTGCAACGCATGGGCTGGCAGAACCGCGTGGGGCAGGTGGGCCCATCCCCTCCCGCCCAGGTCCTTAGCCCTGCCCGTATTGTGGTCACTCATGCTCTTTTTAAACACCCTGCTTCTAACACTGTCAGCTGGAAAGGAGTTTCAGGGCTGGGAAGATGGGGACTCAGAGGCCGACTCCCTCCTTCTGTCCAGGCTATCTGTCAACAGGGAGCCCCCTCACTGCTGTATGTCACCCTGTCTTTATACTTCTGCCTCTTCTTCCCCCACAGATCCTGCACCCCGAAGATTGCATGTATGCTGTGGGTCAGGTATGCTCTGCCCAAGGAGCTGGTTGTACAACCATGTGCACCCAAGTTCCCGGGAGGCAGGCCTTGGAAGCTACTTAGCAAAAGGCCTGGGGGAGCAGTTGAAGGCTCCACTGGTTGGGGAAAGATTGGGCTGATGTCAGGCTGTGCTTCCATCAGGGGGCCCTGGGCGTGGAAGTGCGAGCCAAGGACCAGGACATGTTGGACCTGGTGGGCATGTTGCACGATCCTGAGACCCTGCTTTGCTGCATTGCCGAGCGAGCCTTCTTAAGGCACCTGGTAGGAGCGTGTTCCACTGTGGCGGGAGGAGTTGGGGAGGGGGGTGGGAAACTGTCATGTGGATGCTCAGTACTTAGTGGTAACTCATTCTTGAATGTCATGTATGAAGAGGACCAGGTCTGGGCTCTCAGCCTCCTTCTCAGTCACGTCCTCACAGGCCTGTGTATCTGGATCTGGGTGGTTAAGGGTCTTTGGGGCTCACAGGGACCTTCTTCCTGCAGGAAGGAGGCTGCAGTGTTCCCGTAGCAGTGCACACGGCTATCAAGGATGGGCAGGTAAGCAGGGAAGTGGTGGAAGGGTAGGGAAGGGCTGTCATTTCTCCCTGGGCATCCCACCTTGCTAGCAAGAAGAGCCCCGAATTCTAAGCGGTGCCCTTAGGACATGCTGAGGCCCCTTTCCTTTCAGCTGTACCTGACTGGAGGAGTCTGGAGTCTGGATGGCTCGGAGAGCATGCAAGAGACCATGCAGGCCACCATCGCCGTCCCTGCCCAGGTGCTAAGGCGAGGGGGAGGGGAGGGAAGAAACAAGCCCTCCCCTCCCCTTGGTGCTCACCGAACCCATGTTCTTCCCTCACCCAGCATGAAGATGGCCCTGAAGATGACCCACAGTTGGTGGGCATCACTGCCCAGAACATTCCACGGGTAGCCCAGCTGGCTGCTGAGAACCTGGGCACCAGCCTGGCCAACTTGTTGCTGAACAAAGGAGCCAAGAGCATCTTGGACGTTGCACGGCAGCTTAATGATGCCCACTGACTGACTGGTCTGGGGTGGGCTGCTGCTGCCCAGTGCCCACACCCAGGGGCTCGGGCTCCTGAGCCGCAGGACCAGACCTGCAGGGAAGGCGAGCCTGCGCGGCAGCTGGGGCGTCATCTCCTCAGGGCCTGAGCCTTTGAAATGTAACCAAGTCTGCTAATAAACCAGCTCTGACGGGCCTTTGTTTTGGTGGGCGTGCAGGGAAGAGGAGGACAAACAAAACCCTTGACTCCTTCAGAGGCTGGGAAGTGTCCAAGGCGCCGCTGGAACACTCCGTGTTTCTGCCTCGATGGTCCTCATTTCACCTGGGACAGCAAACGGTCTCCCGGGCACACCGAAGGAGCTATGACCTTAAAGTCCCGTTTGCTCTCGGCTGACCAGCCTCACACCTGCGTCTCCCCTCCCCCCCAGGGCCGGGAGGACAGGGACCTCCAAGCCCTCAATCCTACAAGGCTGCGGAGCGAAATGAAGACAGGATACATTTCTTAAAAAATCCTTTAATAAACAAAACTAGTCCATCTGAAACTTCCAGTACCTGCTCTTGGGTGGGTTAGCTAAATTCCGTTCGGAGACCAACGAGGCCGGGCCCGGGTGGGGGCCCCGGACGTGCCGGTGTCTGCCGCGGGGCGAGGCCAGGCCGGCGCCGGGTCCGGGCCGCGGGCCCCGGAGGCCGCAGGGGAGCGGGTGGGAAGGCCGGGACCTGGCGCCCGGGGTGGCGGCGCACACCTGAGGGTCCGAGTCTCCGGCGGCAGAGCCGGAGGACTGCACGGCCCGGGCCGCGGCGGCGCTGCGTCAGGGCCGCGGCCCGCCGGCCGCTCCAAGGGCAGGGCGGCCGGGGCAGCGCCGGGAGCGGGGAGGGCGGCGGGCGGGGGCGGCTCAGCTCTTTCCGCGAGGCGGTGGTGGCCCTTAAAAGGGCCTTTGTGGTGGGGCGGCGGCCTCAGTACTCCTGGGAGGCCTGCGTGGCCTTCTTGCCGGCCGGCGCCTTGGGGCCCACGGCCGCGCTCGTCTTCTTGGGCAGCAGCACGGCCTGGATGTTGGGCAGCACGCCGCCCTGCGCGATCGTCACGCCGCCCAGCAGCTTGTTGAGCTCCTCGTCGTTGCGGATGGCCAGCTGCAGGTGGCGCGGGATGATGCGCGTCTTCTTGTTGTCGCGGGCCGCGTTGCCCGCCAGCTCCAGGATCTCGGCCGTCAGGTACTCGAGCACGGCCGCCAGGTACACGGGCGCGCCGGCCCCGACCCGCTCGGCGTAGTGGCCCTTCCGCAGCAGCCGGTGAACGCGGCCCACGGGGAACTGCAGGCCGGCGCGAGACGACCGCGACTTGGCTTTGGCGCGGGCCTTGCCGCCGGTCTTACCGCGGCCCGACATGCTGCGCGAGGCGGAGGAGCGAGAAGCAGCGAGGAGAAGCGGAAAGCAGGCACCGAAAGGAAGCTGCCCTACGCAGTCTAAATGCTGCCGCGCGCGCCGGGGGTCCGCCCTTATAAACCCCCAGGGCCCGCCTCCGCGCCCTCCTGATTGGTTCTTTTCTCTAACCGCACCTCTGGTTGGTTGCAGTTAAGCCTCGGTGACCCGTCTCGGCTGAGGGAGCGCGACAGCCGATTGGTCGAATTTGAAAACCTTTTGCCCGGGGAAGACGGCGAGGAGCACGGTGCGCGGCCAGCGCCACTCCCTCCCGCAGCCAATCCGCGGGGAGCGCGCGAGATTCAAACGCTACGTGGGCGACCCAAACCGGAAACCAAGGAGGGTGGAGTCTGAATCCGCCCGGAGAAGCATGGGGAAGCGTGTGGAACTGGGCCTTTTAAAAGGGAGAGCTCGAACCGAAACCGGTTTGGCTCAGTGGATAGAGCTGCGGGGACATCCCCGGTGGGAGGTATGCAGGAGGCAGCCGATTGATGATTCTCTCTCATTGATGTTTCTAACTCTCTATCCCTCTCTCCTCCTCTCTGTAAAAAAAAAAAATCAATAAAATATATTAAAATAAAAAATTAAAAGGGAGAGCTCTTGCCCTGGCCAGTTTGGCTCAGTGAATAGAGCCTCCGCCAGTGAACTGAAGGGTGTGGGTTCCATTCCAGTCAAGAGCCCAAGCTCGATCCCCCGAGGGGAGCAGGCAGGAGGCAGCCAATCAATGATTCGCTCATCATTAATGTTTCTATCTCTCTCTTCCTCTCTGAAATCAATAAAAATATGCTTTAAAAAATAAAAAGTCCCCTGCCACCCCTTCCGATCTGGTCACTCCCTTCTCCCTCCTGTACAGTGAAGGGAGTGAAAAAGGAAATGAGAGCCAGTGGAATTTCCCGTCCTACACCCGGGAGCAGATCAATCTATGGCCCTTCTGCTACCTGAAATACCAGGATTTCAAATGTATCCAACAGGCTCTACGGGTCTTAGTTCTTTCTGCTCACAATCTTGCTAGAAGGGTACTGGGGGGCGGAAGGGGGGAGGGCAGATGGCGGAGAGATGGACATCTTAGAGAAAGGGCCCCCACCAACCTTCTCAATCTACCCTAAGATGCCCAGGAGGAAACACGCCTACAGGACAAGGAAAAAACATCACTTTATTGTTACCACTGGGAGCACCTGCACTCCCTTCTTTTACTAATTAGAACCCTTAATTATAAAGTCTAATGTGAAGCTTCTCCGAGCCTGTGTCTCAATCATGAGCCAGGGCTCTGCCCCAAGCCCAGCCTACTCCTTGAAGGTTGGAGCTGTGGAAACCCTAAAAGCCGAATGTCTCTCCCACCCTCAGGGGAGAATGGCAAGTTGAAGAAAACTATCGGTGAAGTCCAGTCAATAGTCACTGGAGGGCAGGAAAGGCCCACATGTCAATCATCACAGGGGAGGAAAGGCTGGGGAGGAGGGGTGGGAGGGACCTGGGCTGAGAGGCATCTTGGTCTAGAACGAGCGTGGCCTGAGTCTTTGGCCTGAGTCGGGAGCCTGGAGACTGAAGTGAAGGCAATGACCAGGGAGCTCAGACATCATAGAAGAGCCGGACAAGCTGGTACCGAATGGAGAAGGTGATGGCACTGCCCAGGACCTGCAAGAAGAGTGAGCTGCAGAGAAGCATGGGAAGGGAGGCAAGGAGGTGCGAGCCGTGCCCAGCACACCTGTAGCAGCAGCAGCAGCAGGGTGAGGTTCCTCTCATGCATGGGCCCAAAGACTTTAAGGAGCAGGTTGATGAGGGTCATGTTGTTGCACTCCGTGAAGGCGCCATCCTCATCCTCACTCGGGCGCACTGTCACCAGCTGCAGACTTGCTGCTACCTGGAAGGGCCGAGGTGGAGAGAACTCAGCGAATACCTATGCTTACCTAATGGGGACTGTTTAGTGCCTCCAGTGCCCCTGGGGTGGAGTGAGGCTGCGGTTCCCCACTCCCTGGATCCAGGATGGTGGCCTAAAGCCTTACTTCCTCGTTCCTGTTCCCGTTAATTATGTGTGGGGTTTTTTTGTGTGGGGTTTTTTTCCCCCCCAATGGATGTTAAGAGAGAGTGGAAGAGAGAGGGAAAGACAGGACCATCAATGTGAGAGGGAAACATCGATGTGAGAGAGACACATCGATTGATTGCCTCCTGCATGTGCCCAAACCAGGGCCTGGGCCGGGGAGGAGCCTGCAGCTGAGGTTAGTGCCCTTGAATCAAACTTGAGATCTTTAGTCCAAAGGCCATGCTCTATCCACTGAGCCAAACTAGTTAGGGCATGTGTGGGGGTTTTTTTTTAATTGATTTTAGAGAGACAGGAAGTGGAAAGAGAGAAGCATGGATCAGCTGCCTTTTGCACAAACCATAACCTGGGTATATGCCCTGACCTGGAATCAAACTGGCGACCTCAGGTGCACAGGCACCCAACCAACTGAGCCACACCAGGCAGGGCCCCTATTACCTTTAGAATAAAGGTGCCCAAGAAAGACAGGCTCTTGGTCTTGAACTTGGAATAGCTCATCTCCAGTTTGCCTGTGCTGGCATTAAGTCTGCAGGGGAAGAGAGTTTTATGTAGCTGGGCCTTATTTTATAGGAAAGATCCTGAATGTGGACTCAAACAACCTGAGATCTTTCTGGCTCTGCTGCTTACTTACTATGTGATCAGAACTGCTGTGATGGTTAAATGAGGTTACGTAAGTAAATGCGCTCTGTCCTTTATAAAATGCTAAGCACAGGGACAGTCAGCCGTCTCTGGCCCACTGCCTTTACAAAGCAAGTGGCTAAGGCTGGCTTTATGCATCCCAAGCGACAAGGCCATGATGTCCCTTTCAAGCCCCAAAGCAACTACCTGGGCACACGGTGGCGAGGGCAGGGGATGATGTGCAGGAGCTGAGGCAGGGAGTAGAGAAAGTTGAACACCTGGGGCATGAAGAAGAGTAGCATGGTCTTGCTGAAGTGTCCCAAGATGCCCACCACGGCAAAGGTCATGCCAGCAAAGTAACAGAAGGTATCGCCCACAAACACCCGTGATGGGTACCTGTGTGGGGGAGAGGATCTGAGCCGGCGGCAAAAGGCGCTATCAATCCTTCCTCTCACCCTGGGCGTGGGCTAGCCCTGACCCAGTTCTGACCCAACTCCATCCAGCTCTCCCAGCCACATCCCAGACCCACGGCCCTGAGCCCATCTGTTCCTGGGGCTCCACAGACCCGGACCCAGCCCCTGCAGGTTAGAGAGCAATTAGGAATACGACCAACTGAAGACCCGAAAACACTCAATCCCGGTGTGCACAGACAGCCTCTCCATTAGATGGTCGTGACCAGGGCCATACATGCCACATGTTAAAACAGTGTCCCCATCTACAGACCTACTTACCAGTTGTGATAGAGCAATCCCAAGGTGGTGAAAAAAAAGGGTATCATGAAGTAGAGAGAAAAGACATGGTCATCTCGACAATCACCTTCAGAAGCAGAGGGAGAAACGGAATAAGTGAGCACCACTCCTCTGCAACCCTGTCTTGGTTTCTAAGTTATGTCCCAAGCTTTACTGCCTACCTCTCCCAAGTCACACATGAAACATGCTGGGGGTACGGGCTCGATCCCCAGTGGGGGCCGTGCAGGAGGCAGCCAACTGATGATTGTCTCATCATTGATGTTTCTCTCTCTCTTCTCCATTCCTCTCACTGAAATCAATTTTTTAAAATATTTAAAAAGAAAAAAAAAAGAACTCACTATCCCTTTTATGTCACCCAGGCAATTTTCAACATTCTAGCTCTTTCACAAACCCTTTCGAAACTAGTTATTGCCTTACATTGATTTAGACCGTTCTCACCTAGGTTTGAATACAAGCTTTACTCCTAACTGTAACCTTGGTCATGACAAATGTAACTTCTCTAAGCCTCAGTTTCCACATCTATAAAATAGTTATTACCACCTGTCATACAAAGCTTTTATAAAGTTTGAACGTTTTAAAAGTGCTTAGTTTTTTTGTTTTAATCCTCAACTGAGGATATTTTTTTCATTGATTTTTTTAGAGAGTGGAAGGGAGGGTGGTGGGGAAAAGGGAGAGAGAGAGAAACATCAATGTGAGAGAGGCACATCAATCGTGAGCCTCCTGCACCCCCCTCCCACAGGGGCTGGGATAAAAACTGCAGCCCAAATGTGTGCCTTTGACTGGGAATCAATCCGTGGCTGTTTGGTTTGCAGGAAGTCATTCTGAGGAAGATGCAGGAGGCAGAGTTCTGCACGGGTCTGGATGCTGGCTGTAGGAGTAAGTCTATGAGCATCTTAGTTTGTATCTAAGTGGAAGGAGCTGAGTGAGAAGGAAGCAGCAATCACTCCTGTCAGCCAGAAGTGGTTCTGTCTATGCTCACACAGTTATGAAGGGTCTGGTTTGTGTCTTACTCTCAGAGTCACAGAGTGACTGGGGGGTTCTGTGAAGTTGTCTACGTTCAATAAGAGAAGTCCACAGCCCACCTATTAGTGCCAATCTAGCTATCGGTGACAAGGCAACTGCTTTTCTCACATTTAATAAATCTAGTTATTTGCAAAGTAAATTACCTTCCCTTATCTTCTATATTTATTTATTATATTTTTATTGATTTCAGAGAGGAAGGGAAGAGAAATAGAAACATCAATGATGAGAATCATTGATTGGCTGCCTACTGCACACCTCCTACTGGGGACTGAGCCCACAACCCAGGCATGTGCCCTTGACCAGAATCGAACTGTGAACTGGTTCATGGGTCAATGCTCAACCACTGAGCCACACTGGCTGGGCATATTTTTATTGATTTTTAGAGGGAGGGAGAGAAATATTGATTTGTTGTACCATTGATTTATGCATTCTGCGGTTGATTTTTGAATGTGTCCTGGAAATCAAACCCACAACCTGGTGTATCGGGATAATGCTCTAACCAACTGAGATACCCAGCCAGAGCTCTTATATTTTATAATTATTAACATAGTGCTTTTTTTCCAAATTCCCCAAAGCCAGATATGAGGCAACTAATTCTCTTAACACTCAGTCTTCTCTCCCCCTGCCCCAGTCCCGCTTACCTT